GGAATGTTTTCTCCTAAAATAGCTTTGATTTACACAGTTATGTAATTTGAATAATTTTCTATGACAATTTAAAAAAAGTTGGGCCAAATGTCCATTGATGCAATGCTAAAATTCTTTAAAACCGTGGAGTATTTGTATGTCAATCAACATTAGCATGTTTAATCACAACATGTTCATGAACAGGGTCATCATGTGGTATATCATTCAAGTTTTATACAGATTCAACAAACACACTTTGATAAATCATGAAATTAAGCCACTTTTCCAAGATTTTAGCATGTAAGTGAATGGAGCTCTAGCCAGAGTTAAAAGCTGAATAAAAGATGGCAGCACGAGAGTTCATTGATTTTTCTGCTATTTAGAAACTATCCTATTGGTGTGTATAATACACTACCCTGCGCGCAGAGTCTAGTTATGGCCGAAGCGAAGCTCCTTTTTAAGAAGTGAAGTCGAACGATTGCGAAGGGAAGTAACACCCTTGATAGAACATTAAAACTGGTTAATAAACCAAAGTTTGGCAATACTATTTAAAAAATGAAGCTATTGCAAAATCGTGTATATATAGTAAATCAAACGAGTATGAGTGCAGTAAAAACACGGATTGGGATCGAATGTGGATTTTGTCCGTTGTGTACGGGAAATCTCTGCTTGCAACTTTTAAGACACATTGTAAGCTCAAAGAAATTGATGGACTAATCAGAAGATTTAGATCTAGCAAGCATTGTTTGGAGTCTGTGTTTTCAAACAAAATTTCAAGACGTTCTTGAAAGCTGCATTGTTTTTTCCTTTAATGCGTTCATTCGGTGGTGAATATATGATTTTATCCTGTGGTAGCGAAGACTATGTGCTAATGAACGTAGGCTTTAAAACATTTATGACGTTAATAACAATTTTACCGACGATTTTATGAGGGTTTACACAAAAAATCTATCTCGCAATTTTCATTGAAATGGAAAATACTCGAGGTTCGTTCCTTAGGTAAATCTTTGCCAAGTCCTCATGTAAAATATTTCGAAGAAACTCAGGAGATTATTAGATAAAAAAGAAATTAATACAAACTGCGTGCCTATTTTAGCCAGATACCACAAACTGCGTGCACAGCCTACTATCGAAACTGCGTGTCTCTCATTATAATTTATGAATAATAGAGGGCATGTCAATCAATATGTTTATTATACTACAAAGAGATCGATTAATAGATTTAACGCTGCTGCCATCTTTAAATCGATCCAAAACCTATGCTATATTCTGTAGCTTTTTTGCCTGGTCTTCCTGATTTAATGCGAATGATTTTAAATAATACGTTTAATCATACTCTACCATCTGCCATAACAATCCTTATCACTTCAAAATAATTGTTTCGATATACAGCAATTGTTTTTTAAACATTTTTCAGGTTTCGTTATAGGTGTGAGGTGGGAAGGGACTGGGGTTGAGGCCTATTTTTACTGAACTTATCAATGTACATGTATATTAGTTAAAGTCACTAAAGGGTAAAGGGTGCCTTTGTTTGTCATAAACAAAAACACTATTTTCTTGTTGTGAAATGTATATTGAAAACGTTGCTAATGATTGACATGGCTTAAAGGGTCTGTATGTATTTGAAAGTCAAATGAAATTAAGGAACAGAATATCTCATTATTTTACAATGCACTTCAATTTAAAACTTTTTCGACAGAACCCAAGATACAGTTTCAGTTTGTTTCTGTCACAAATCATCCTGATATGTTTCCATTACACGTGCTACAAATATACAGAGTGTCCTATATGTTTCTTTACAACGGTAAGAGACTTCAAGGTCTTGCAAAAAACTAATTATGAACAGTTGGACACCCTGTATTGTTAAATAACTGAGTTCCAGGAAAGAGTCTTTTATGCTGGTTGTCCTCGATCTAAAACATACACCCACCATTCGCTGAATTGAAGGTAGCCGTTCATTAAGAAAAGTTTGTTATGGAAATGTGTGAAGCCTGTCACTCTAATCTGCTCAAGTTGCCACTCAACATGTTTTTTAAATTTTATTATGTGTTTCTATTATATGCTGTACAAAGGCCGACAAATACAGAAATAATGCAATGAAAGCACTGTCATTTTCTCAAATTACCCCACAAACGTGTTTTTAAATTTTATCATGTATTTTTATTATATATGCTACAAAGGCCAACAAATACAGGAAGAGTGGTTGAAAATATTGTATTGAAATAATTGAAAGGCGGGGATGTAACTTCTAGCTTCCTCAAATTGGCACATTGTTTACTGAAAAGAGATTGAAACACGAGTCAACTTTTTTGTGTTTATGTCAGCGACCCTGGAAATTCGAGACAATCAATTGTTAGCGTGTACAGGTGTACGAAAGTTGAAGTGCAACATAACATGAATCAAAAAATACATTTTTAAATACAAGTATTGTCTGGTTGTGTGTTATGAATATTACTTGGTGTAATAGTTATTTATTATGATATTGAAAAGATCGCAAATAAACTTTGATAGCAAATACTTCGATCGAAGAGCTATTTATTGCATATTTTTCCATTTAATTATAGCAATATAGATTAAAAAGAGCACTCCAAACTTTCAGTGGGTGGCATTTCGTGATAGAAGCGTGTCGATGAGCACGATGTTAATAAAATCAATGGTATTGATTGTGCGATTCTAGAGGGCGTTGTACTGCTGTACTACTGTACCATAAAAGAACTAGAGGTCAGTCACACTGTCGACAAAACAATTATTTCAATCCATTCTCGAAAAAGGTTAAGATCTTAACAATCCGGGTGTCAAGATAAGGCAACATATAACGGTTGTTTGAATAGTTATTCAATTTTTTTTTTTTAGAAATATGCCTTCAAAACGTGCGATACATAATGTGCATTTTGCTCTGAGGTCGTTTCACATGCCGGTGATTCGGAAACTATCGACTTGGACATATACTTAAATCATTGAATAACATGTATTATTATATACCCAATATGTAACACTAATCCTGATTGGTCAATACCTAGTCACGTGTTCCGAAATAGATTTACTATTTCCCTCGGAAAGTTGTATTCCCTCAAATGTGACGTCAGCGGGAATATACATTTGAACTATTGCCCGCTGACGTCACAATTGCAAGTTCTATTACCTTTAGAAACGTCTGCGCATCATCACAGCGCAGACGAAAAACAGAAAAATGGAGGATGAGCACAAACACAAATCAACTCCGTTCACCATGACAGACGTGCGTGAACGATACAATATAAGCAACGTGTATAAAGTTCCCTAAGCTCAATACGTCTGTGTAATTTCAAGTGTTATGATAATCTATTCCGCGTGTTAAACGCGATTGAATTTGTCAAGTGAGAGTCTCAGAGGCAAAAATTTCTGTTGAGCATCTGATGACGTCACAGCTTATAATGCTAACAATGGACCCGGGGAGGGGGCTTTCTAAGCCTTCGCAGAGGAAACGGGACAAGAGTCAGTATAGGGTATATAATAAAACAAATAGTGACTGCCTAATTTCGAGCAATAGTGTAAATGATTTCCCCTTGGGAATATCCTCTATAATGTACTATTCCCTCAGCCTGCGGCTTCGGGAATAGTACATTGTAGAGGATATTCCCTCGGGGAAATAATTTACACTATTGCCCTCAATGGCAGTCACTATTTGTATATTATTTGGACATGACAAGATACCGATGTACTATCAACGCAAAAATATTTCCTTCCTTCTTACCAATTATAGCCAAACCCCAGGGCCAAACCTTTGACTCGGCATTTGGCAAAACTTCCAAAACTTTAATCTGGCAACTGTTTAGGTTTTTAAAGTTAAATGCGCTAATGCGTTACTTCTATCTGACTAATATGTTGGATATTGTACAATTAACAAAAGTACTTGTTAAAATAATGTCACTCGAACCGTTAATTCGTGTTCATAGGTACTATCAAGACAACAGGTGGAAGATCCGAACTTGTCCAGACAACCCGATATTGGCCAAACAGTTATTCGTGCTCATATTATGAAATATGAAAATATGAGTTACACTCCCCGCAATAAATTTGTCAAAATGATGATTGTCAAACTTTTTGAGGTGTGTATATAGGTATTACAGTGTATATTGCTTTTAGTTCTTGGTGTTAACGTAATTTGAGTGTCAATTTATTGGATTTTTTACTTTTAATTTATTGGCTATTTTTAAATTTTAGATTAAATTTTTAAATTGTAAAAAACATAAAAAGGCTATAACACGTAAACCAATGGGGAGGTAAGAGTTGGAGTTCGATTATATATCAAAGAATTTAAAACGAGAAGTCGTTGGCAATCACCATACATGTACGTACCAATGTGCCAATGTAGCAATTAAACTCATCTCGTACATATTATACACTCCCCTCCATGAGTTTGGCAACTGGATGTTTCGTTTGGACCATCTATTAATGCATGTTAACGTTGGTGGTTTAAGAAAAAATCATTAAATTAGTCTCGTACGTTTCCGAACTCTGATATGTTATCCAATTAAAAACGTCTAATTGCTAAACTAAATTATGAAGGGGAGTGTGAGGTTCATACGTATTTAAAAATATAAACCCTAAATCATTCATGACATTTTTATGTAATAATTATGTATTTCATTCCAAATTTTACATCCAGTTTTTCACATAATATTTGCCATCTGATTTGTATAACCTATATTGTATCATACGGAAATGATACGAAATAAAATGGAAACAGATGGTGATAAGTTATGTTCTATGTTAATTGTCTTTAAATGTATAATATTAAAATACAAGATGAATATGATCGAATTAATGTGTCAAGGAGATAGACATGGGTCTAATTTTGTTACCATCAACAAACCGGTTGAAGTCAATTTCAACCGCCTTTCTTTAACAATAATTTATCGTATGAGCATATGTTTCATATTGTTATTATCCTCTCTGTAAAACTTATCAAACAAAATATTATATATTTTCTTATAAAGAATATCTTAAACTTGTTTCATAATTCTTCCAGATATTACTACCTTATCTATGTACATTTATAGTCTATAACACGTTGTAAAATCCCGCACTGTCAAAAGTAGAGTTCTCCTAGGAAGAAATTTTATAGCGCCTTTTACAAAATATTACAGAATGATTATAATATTCGGCTTATTAGCTTTCTACATATACATATATATATAAATACAATTGAGTTTTTAAATATGTATTTAATATAACAAACATACGTATATACGTATATAATTATAAATTCGGGTAATTCGTTCAGTGCAACTAAGTCGCCTTAACCTCTCTCTAGTAGATGTTTAATGTTGACCTACTTAAGGTCCCAGTTGTATTTCCGTCAAAAGTCGGCTATTGTTGCACTGGACGAATTGCTGGGAGAGTAGCACTTAAATCTTTGGTCAAGAGTGCCCATGTCATTCATTATAAAGAGGGCGCTATGAGTACTAGTCCGTCTTACACTGCACGGACTAAAAACTCTTATATACTTCATATTCAGGATTTGCAGTCTCTTCCATCGCGCCATCTATTACTTTATTTGGCAATCTTAGTCTTCCTGGAGTACAAGTCTTTAACTTTAAAATCATGTACTTTCCCAATGGGTATGCCATCCTTGTGCCAGCAGTCAACTCTGTGGCCAAAGTATTCTTCTTGTTTCTCTAGAGCACCCATCTTGGATCTATTTTGCAACTCCACGGTCTGGTATTCGTTAAAGCCCTCAAATTTGAGTTGTCCCAGTTTCTCGTCGTTCTGATCCATGGTCAGTGAAGCCTCGACTGTCATTGCTTGACCTTGAATATGATAGAGGTGGTTATTAATACATGGAAATCAGTTACAGATCAAAAGACGTAAATACATCTTTGACGTCCAAGGTGTTTTAATAAAATGAAGTTGGAGCACCTGGAACATTGTGAATCAAGATGGTGTAAAGAATAGTTTTCTTAAATTGTTCTATTTAAGGTATGGGCCTCTTAAAGATGGACCATTATCCCCCAATTTCTTTACACCCCATTTTATAAGTTTGGCAACCATTAGTCCTTTTGGATCACTTATCAAAGCTTGTTTAAGTTTGACGATTTAAAAATCACCAACGTCATGAACGAATCGAACTATTGTATTTAAGGAACAAAATTCAGGATTTGATATGCCATGGCATGAAAAATTCCGATTGCCAAACTTATAGAGGGGAGTGTACTCTGAATAGATATTAACGTGTCATTACCAACAATGCCACCAGCAGGCCAGAGAGATTCATCAAGTTTGGTGACCAATACGTCTAGATGGTTGTTGAAGCGTGCGATCACAATCGTAGCCAAATGACTGATATGTACTGCCATTCTGTATCTGTCTTGCTTTAAGATGCGTACAGCAACGGGGACCTTTTCATTTCCGAACTATAACAACCAAATCAAGATGTTTTCATGCAAGTCGTGAGCCAGGAAAAAAAGTGTTACCTTAACATGCTTGGTGAAAAAGGCGTGGCAGTAAAGGTGAAAAGTCAAAATTGTTTCTCTTGGTCATTATCTCCTAATATTTTATCATTGTTCAGCTTGGTTATTATATACAATACAATATACAATATGCCTCGGATTCACAATACAAGGAGGTGAAAATTAAATATCATATATATTTTCTATGAAGAAATTCTTTTGTCCATTCAATTTTGAGGGATTTTTGGACTGTCAAAATTGCACCCTGTTCATGAAAGCACTAATTAATCTTCTTCGTAAGAAGCAGACCTTTGTAAAATAACGGTTACTCAAATAATACACTCGAAGATTACCTTAGCGATGTAATTCCTCTGGAACGCCGGTCCCCATCTTTCCACTTTCCCCCCAATATTCATGTAATGCGTTTCTGCCCCTACGTGAACCCAGAAGTTCCCCATACGTATGACGGCCTCCCCAAGATAATACGCATGTCCGGATCCAGGTCGTGACTCTATTTCCTCTGAGACCATTTTGGCATTTACAACCAAATCTGTGGAATAAAATAGTGCTGAATAAGTTGTTTTTAATGTGTTTATCTTTATTTTTAAAGGGAAGTGAATCAACTCATGTCAGAAAGAGCGATAGAGAATCTGAGCTCAAAATATAAGACCAAATTAACAATAGGAAGTTAACATTTCCAGTGTTTTCTCCCGCTCTACTGACTCAAAGTACAACACAGTTAGACTAACTGTGCCTACTTGCACATTTATTCTTTCAATGCCGTTAAAAGATCATGAGCAATATGTTCTTACATCTGAAAGGAGAAACCCTCGTATGTTAATAGATGCACTGTGTAAAAGTACCAACGTCAACAACGTATCAACACAAATTTCTTGATGTTGAAAAATCTTTTAGTCAACTGGCGTCATAGTAACAAATTTTAAAACAGTTGGACTTTAGAAATTCCTGACTTCCCAAAGTATCTGTTAGGATTTACAGATCTTACTGCCCACTTTCTTTTCCAACATAAACTTACTTTTTGAGGGCACAGAGAGGATTTGTATGACCTTTCCAGCGGGGGCCGTGAAGTCGAAACATACTGGTTTATCTACCCCTTTGACGTTGATCATCACGTGAGGATCTCCAGCCACTGGAAATTGATTAAGATTGATATTTGTTTGTGATTAAGAGATACATTTAACTCATTATAATTATTTGTTTTGCCATGTCAAGATAATCATTGTATGCCCAATGACGAAAACAGCAAAGGTTATAATGTTTTAATAAAAGGAATAAGTATAATTTGTCCATTATTTGATTGTTAGCCTATCACTGGTAGACTGGATAACTAAGTGGGCTCATAAAGATTCTTTTCAATTCGTTTTTAAAATATGAATTCCGATTTTTGAACATGTAGAAATATTTAGAAGTATAGTCCACATTTTACATTTTTCAAGGTTTCAAAACGTCATACATTAACATTAAACGTTTTCCATTACCGTCTCCGCCGCCTCCGTCGTCGCCAGAGCAATCACATGGGGTGTGAGCAGTCCATGTGCCGTCCGATTGACACTGAATACTCTCGCTAGTATCTTCTGTCCCCTGGATAGTGCAGTTCTCATGGCATGTGTACGTGATCGATTCAGGATAGTTGTAGTTAGTCCCCGTAATATTAGCGTTCGCGTCGCTTGGTGGTGTACCACAATGGGGTGCTGCGCAATCCTCGTCTTCGTTTCCGTCCCCGTCGTCATCTTTGAGAATATTTAATGATAATATAAATAGTACCAACAAGTTATTTAAGATTTTAGAATGGAAAAAGTGTTTGCAGTTCTACAATTTATGAACAAATGCTGTGAAAATTATGATAAGCTAATCTGGTATTATTGGGTAGACGTACCTGCGGGATCGGCTGCACAATTTTCCTCGTCTACCCTTCCGTCACAGTCATTATCTGTGCCATCGCCTATCACACTCGCCGTCACCACGCAGGGCTAACAATAAAATAATACTAATGATTAAATCACATATGTTCCTCATTCTCCGATTGGCCATGACTCGGAAGTAAAGCCCAGTGCACACCGATGGGGAGAAGGAGGGGAGGTGTAACAATTATGATTACAAAACAGAAGTTAGTCGGATATACAATCGGTACATCGGTAATCTTCCAACTAATAAGGCAAAATCCCAGCCATAGGTTCTGGGCCGATATAAAGATGGCAGCACCAACATAATCCAGTATTTTCTTTTTCTCGAGTCCCACGAGGTCCCATGGAACCTCATTGACTTTGCCCCATGCATGGAGTCCCATCGAGTCCCACCGTTCCCCATCGAGATCGAGTCCGGCCCCTCAAAAGTTTAGAAAGTTTTGCCACCACCGACATTTTGATCCAACAAGTCAATCGATACGTCGCATGGGCAAAAGGTGTCTCACGATGCGCAATGGAAATAATGAACGGATCATCAGATCTTGACGAAGCTTGGTCGGACTCCGTGGGACTTCGCGACCATGAAGTAGCCTACCTTGGAAATCGATGGGGCATCGTGAGGCAAAGCCCCGTGGCGTACTACGAGGTTCGACAATCACGCTAAGTGTATGGAGATAACATTGTCCCATTGGTGTATGTTGAACTTAAGAAGCCATATTTCACGGTTTAAGAATGTGACGTTTTGAAATGATACAAATATAATCTTATAGAGAGAAGTGTATGGTTACTGTAGTTGTACTCACTGCGTTAGATAACTCGTTCCTCATTCCTAGGGGAAAGCCATAGGATTCCGCTAACTGCTTTCCATACAGGTAACCAGAGAATTGGCCAATACTGTCAGTGTTAGAAAGTGTATGGGCACCTGAAAATTAAAAGAACGTGTGAACTATACATGTAAAGTGACGAAAGGGTGTCAATGATATGTGATTCACATAGCCAGGCCTGATATTTGAAAATTCAGCAGATCTTGTAAAATATATAATTTGTGGATTGTTTGATCTTTCCCTAGAACTCGGTCTTCGCTTAAGGAAGGAACAATCCACTTGTAATCTACTTCACATTGAGTCAAGTGCTCATATGGATTCTTTCAATACACAACAAATATTTGAACAATAAATTCCAAAATTGAAATTCTACCAGAAACGTCTACAACTGATAAAACCACTACCTTCCGCTACAGGTATCCAAGTCCCAACATAATTTGTTCCAGGTATACTGTTCCAAGGGTAATCGGTGACATTAAACGCCTCGTTGTCATGTACTAGTGTATCTTCGCGCCCACTTTCAACAACTGAAATAGCAGATACAGTCATGACTCAGGGGTACATTACCTAAATATTTGATTTATATAAATATCCATTTATTTTCCTTTATCAGTTTGTTTTAACATAAAAACCAACTAAAGTAGAATTTCTTTCAAAATAATGAAGTTAACTTGGGTCGTAGGATCTTAATTAAAATGATCCATGATAATTCAAAACAGCTTGAAATTGAAAATCAAACATGTATAGTCAACATGTACTGCAGTTATCTTGTGTGTCTTACCGATTGCCAAATAGTGTTCGTAGGTTCCGGAAGCCGCTGGTGGGCTGATAACGGTGTAGGCAGTTTTCCATTGGACTGTTGGGACAAGCATTATCATAGCTGGATCAGCCGCTTCGGTCGTTCCTGTTGTCTAAAGGGCAACAAAATAACACAGTATATTCTAGTGCAGTAAAACCTGTCTAATCCGAACGCCATTGGAACCATCTAGCTAAAATTGTTCGGATGAGTATACGTGTACAGGGTGTCAAATAAATATGTCCTCCCCTATTTATTTCAAAAGCACTTTATGCCTAAAATGTTTGTTCCAATACAGAATATACATTGAGACATTTATACTTACAGACTAATAGTAAAATTGTAACGCAAATTAAATTGATAACTACAATTACCGTGATACAAACACTGACTAACAAATGTTCAATACTCCGATTGAATCCATCGTGAAACGCTACCTGAAGTTGACGTAATGGAGGTGAGGAGACCATAATAGTACAATAACGTCATTTCTAAGGGCAATATAGTGAAATATTGGGCCGAGGGCCGAACCTTCTAAACTAGCACTAAAACCCCTAGAACTGGCCCGGCAAGGTGGTAATAATAATACGCTATTTGCTGTTGCGCATTATCTAGTAATGTTCCAGTGAGTATATCCCTGGCTGAGTGTATTTACCTGACTGAGTATGAACTTGAAAGCACTGATGGGTTTGTCCGATATTATGCTTACGTAGGTCGCCGCTGGTACCGTTATCTAAAAAAAAGGTTTGTACTTACAAAACTAGCCATGAATAAAATAGACATTTTCTAACAATCATGTTATATCAAGATGAAATTACTTTGGTGTTTATTGTAGCCTGATATCGTGGTTTAGCGATTGAATTAAATAAGATATTAATTTGTTTTGATAATGATAACATCTTACATCTGCAAAATCTGCCTTATTGGTTAGTGTTCCATTACTTGAGAAGTCACTCGTCCCCGTCACCCAATAGTTCACTGCATCTTCTCCTGCTGTAAGCTAAAACGTTAAAATGTTATTGAGTCTGGAAATGGACCAGGGAATTCAAAAGGACATGGTATGGTGCGGCAATCTGAGAATAGGGCAGGGAACCTAAAATGTCCAGATGTATGGTATGGCAATTTGGGAATAGGGCAGGGAACTTAAAACGACAGGGTCTGATATGGCAATCTGGGAATAGGGCAGGGAACCTAAAATGTCCAGATGTATGGTATGGCAATCTGGGAATAAGGCAGGAAACTTAAAAGGACAGGGTCTGGTATGGCAATCTGGGAATAGGGCAGGGAACCTAAAATGTCAAGGTGTATGGTACATGCATGGCAATTTGGGAATAGAGCAGGGATGTTAAAACGACAGGGTCTGGTATGGCAATCTGGGAATAGGGCAGGGAACCTAAAATGTCATGGTGTATGGTACATGTATGGCAATCTGGGAATAGGGCAGGGAACTTAAAACGACAAGGTCTGGTATGGCGATCTGGGAATAGGGTAGGGAACTTAAAACGACAGGGTCTGGTATGGCAATCTGGGAATAGGGCGAGGAATCTAAAATGTCAAGGTGTATGGTACATGTATGGCAATTTGGGAATAGGGCGAGGAATCTAAAATGTCAAGGTGTATGTTACATGTATGGCGATCTGGGAATAGGGCGGGGAACCTAAAAAGTCCAGGTGTATGGTATGGCAATTTGGGAATAGGGCAGGGAACTTAAAATGTCAAGGTGTATGGTACATGTATGGCAATCTGGGAATAGGGCGAGGAATCTAAAATGTCAAGGTGTATGTTACATGTATGGCGATCTGGGAATAGGGCGTGGAACCTAAAATGTCCAGGTGTATGGTATGGCAATTTGGGAATAGGGCAGGGAACTTAAAACGACAGGGTCTGGTATGGCAATCTGGGAATAGGGCAGGGAACTTAAAAATGACAGGGCTTTTATGGCAATCATGGAATAGGGCAGGGAATCTAAAATGTCCAGGTGTATGGTCTGGCAATTTGGGAATAGGACAAGGAACTTAAAACGACAGGGCCTGGTATGGTAATCTGGGAATAGGGCAGGAGACCTAAACGAACTAGATGTGGTATAGCAATCTGGGAATAGGGCATGAGACCTGATTAAAGGTCCAGATGCGGTAAGGGAATCTGGGAATTGGGCAGGGAACCTAAAGGACCAGGTCTGGTATGGCAATCTAAGATTAGGGCAAGGGATATTTAATGAACAAGATGTGGTATAGCATTCTGGGAATAAGACAGGGAACTCAAAACGACCAGGTATATGAACCAGTGGCATTGTCATCTGGAAATAGGGCAGGTAAACTGGGAATAGGACAGGGAATTTAAAATGATTGACTAGGTATAATTTGGCAAGTGACTTTAGACAGTCATATCTTTGATCATTAGTATTCTCTCGCCTTACTATGATTTGACAATGTTCCCTGTTCAAATAATACGTTTTCCTCCAAGTAGAGTTCCTGGAATAATAAAACTATCAAACAGTGTCGCCGACTTGAAGAACCCCCATTCTTTTCTACACTTTGAAAAGGCCAATTATCTTTTGGATACTATGGTGGTGATGGAATAATTTGTAAATGTTAATAGCTCAGACTCAGCTACCAACAGAAATAAAAGAAGACGAGAGCATTGGTCATCATTATCGATTCGTGTTATTTTGTTACCTTTGTATAGTCTATCATTTTATCCAATTCCTGGACCACAAAAATGGTATTACTGGACCAGAGGTTTCTTACCCTTATATAATGTCCTCTCGTGGTGGTACCCGGTGTGGGGGTTGTGTAAAATTCTTTTCCCCATTGCGTAATTGGAACCAACATCTCCTCCAGATGGTCAGCAGTATTGCTCGATGCTCCGTCTGTAACCCTGGTCTTCTTATTTCCAGAGAAAACAGCGATGGGTTGATCGGAATATATTTCAGTTCCCGAAAAATCGGATTCACTTGAGGCTTGGAACGCCTCCAGGCGATCTAGCGTTAAAGAGATGTTTGTCCCGGCAGCGTGAGTTGTACCATCAAAGGTGATTTCTTGGGTAGATTTAATAACAACATTGGTTGAGTCAAGCGTCCCTGCTATTCCAAACAAACTGGTCCTTCTCTCGGGTGTCCACGTAGTCGTGATGTACTCAGTGCCAAGTGCTTCAGTTGGTATGATCAACGACCCATCGACACTTAGGCCTTCCATGTTGACAATGTATACACTTATTTCATCATCGGCGGTGATGAGTAGCCCTTTGTCAGCAACTTTCTCTGTTTCAGTAAGGCGTATACTTGTATCAACCTCGACCTAAAAACAAAGGAAAAAATCGCATAACAATTTTTGTCACAAAAAGAGTCCCACGATCGATTTTTCTGTATTTTTAACTTGATGATTTTAAAGCGTCATTTGCCAAAAGCAAGTCTGATAAACCGATGTTGGTTTAGTGTGAATCTTATGAGCAAAAATCGTCGAAATGGGATTATACAAAATAAAAAAATGTTGATGCATACATTTGATTTTTGAATGTGAAGTAACTCTTGAATATACGAAGAAATTGGTGGATTTTGAAAACATATGGGTTTGTGTTTAGAAAACTGCAAAAATGACTACAAATCATAAGAAAAATTGTTGTCTTGCTTCAAGACCCTGGGCTATCTGGGCTTACTCTAACAACTTGTGTCTCATGGGCTTGGCCAAGACTAGAAAAAATAATTTCACAAATATAACAATAAAATCGCTTGGCGATATTTATGGGAACTCCATTACAAATGAATTATCAATCAATATTTATTTATCCTCCGTGTCAGGAATACTTGCGCACATTGATTTAATCTTGGTACCATGATAGTTTCATTACTTACCGTTTGAAACTGCTCATCCATTACTGTATATGATCCGCTAAATCCGATGGCTTCGCAAGAAATTGATACGTTCACCGGTGTAGACTTTCTAGAGGTAACAAATAAGCGAATTCTGCCATCAGCTCCTGTCGGATCAGTCGCTCTCAGACTGTTTTCCAAAAACATTAGTATGAACTCAGTCCCCGAGTTGTCCACCCCACCTTAAATGTAAGCGGTTAAAGCATTCATTATCGTTCGATAGATATTAGAAATTTCTTTTTAATTTTCTGAAATTTCGGAATTTGTCGTTATAACCCTACTATCACACCAAACTAGTTCTCACTACGTTCTCGAAAACGGGCTTCAACTGTGTACGAACGGACTGGACCTACTAAGAACCGTTTGGGATCTATTTACAAACTTCATCGAACGTACTCGAACGGGTAGGTCCTCTAGAACTTAGACAATGCTCAAAATGTTCTCGTGGTCGTCACGTTCTACAATTAGAACGAGTGACAACGTACTAACGACGAGCTGGACGTACTACGAACGGAACCGTCGTACTTCAATCCTACTAGGGACGTTTTAACAACGAGTTGAACTGTCTGAGGACGTGTTGAGAACGAGGTAGAACTAATTGCAAACGGGTTTAAACTGATTAAGAACGTATTTAACACTGCTTATGAACGAGTTAGCAAAAATATAGCTATCACACCAAACAAGTTGCCACTGCGTTCTTCAAAACTGGTTTTAAACTGTGTGCGAACGGAATGAACGTAATGTGCGAACGGAATGAACGTAGCTGCAACTTTCTAAGGTCTATTTACGAACTTTATGAACGTTCTCAGACGGGAATGTGATTTTAGAATTTTGAATCGATTCAAAATTCGATGGCGACCATACCGTTCTGTAATCAGGTCATGTTGGCCTTCTAGACTAAGGGACGCGTTCTACTACGTTGCACAGCGACGTGGTGCGACCTGAACGAACTGCGAACGAGATGGACGTATTGAAGACTGTTTAAGAACGAAGTGCTAATTATTTCAGACATATTTCCCGACCACAGCCAGATTGAGCCCGTTTTACGACGTTTTCGTAGGACTGGCAAGAACGGGTAAGAACTAGTTTGGTGTGATAGGGGGATTACTTAGATGCGTTGAGATTAGCTCTGGATAAAGCGGTAATAGAATCTCTCCTGGTGCAATTTAGATTATCTCCTTGAAAAGTAGATAATGTATTTTTTCTTGTTTGTGTGAAAATGGCTCAAGATTTCAAGGAATTCGAAATAAAAAAGTTTCTAAATATGCAATACGTAAGTTCGGCTACCGAAAGTTTTGAATAGCATGCTTGAGCCTTTTTATCTTTGTAGTATCATGATTTTCTAAATCGCCAAACATATACTGGCTCTATTACGCGATCCAGAAGGGGACTGCCGGTCGCCGAACATTTTGAGTAGGACGCCAATTTTGAAATAATCAGGAAGTAAAATTGCGTCTATTCATGTAGGCTACACCCATATGTCTATGAGAAATTTTTTCCTTATTTTATTGGTGGATTCACGAGCCTCACTTTGTATGGGATTATTTGTGATTGTCGGAACTGATAACATTAAACCCCGGGCATTAAACCTATTGCCGCTAGGGCATGTTATCGTTCATTACTTTTACAATGGGAAAGAGTGCCAATAGGCGATTTGCCCCGACACTCTGTCTTTAATATATTATTTAACTCGTGAAACAAGTCATATATACACAAATTAGATAGACTTGCCTTATTTCGCAAATTTGATCAACTTAAGATATAATTTGTTGGCATACAAGAGGAGAAATTACCCAGTATTCATAGATGAACATATCTCCTTGTGAAAATCAAAATATAACTCTTACATGGATACAAGTTCATCTATGAATTCTGTGGTATTCCCCCCTCTTGCGTCATACAATATCACAATTCTGTGGTATTTCCCCCTCTTGCGTCATATAATATCACAATTCTTTGGTATTTCCCCCTCTTGCGTCATATAATATCACAATTCTGTGGTATTTCCCCCTCTTGCGTCATACAATATCACAATTCTTTGGTATTTCCCCCTCTTGCGTCATATAATATCACAATTCTGTGGTATTTCCCCCTCTTGCGTCATACAATATCACAATTCTTTGGTATTTCCCCCTCTTGCGTCATATAATATCACAATTCTGTGGTATTTCCCCCTCTTGCGTCATACAATATCACAATTCTTTGGTATTTCCCCCTCTTGCGTCATATAATATCACAATTCTGTGGTATTTCCCACTCTTGCGTCATACAATATCACTAGAATAGGCATACAATACCGTATTCTGATTGGATATACCCGTACACAAGATCGACCTCTAATTTAAAGAGTGAACAGCCAAAGAAAAATGAAATAAGATTTACCATAGGCTGGTGGTAGAACCATCAGGGCGAAAACTAGAACGAACCGATAATCCATCTCAAACAACAGCTTTTCTGAAAATAAAACATAACACTGATTTAGGGAACATAACAGCGGAGCAAGAAGGGTATTGGTGGATAAAAAGGGTAGTTGACCAAAGGATATTATTCCATGATGGTGAAATTCCCTGCAATCTGATTGGTGCACATGACTTAAATATATCCTGTATTTACACGCACATTCCACTAAGCGTTGGATACAGAGTGAAAAAGACGTCAGCGTTGGGATACGGTCTAGTATCCCAACGCCCCAGATTTCCATCCAGGATATGACTATTACTGAAAAAAATCAATGGTAATCAGTTTACACCAACGCATGCTAATATTTGCATTTTCGCTAGAAATATCTGATTTGAATATCAGGAAATGATACGGTGATCATCACAATTTATAATTTTAGGATAAAAAACACACATCTGTGAATATAAAAAGATCAATATGAAGCATGCATATTGTTTTCATGAACTAGTAAAAAATTTTAAAATCCAATATGGCAGACGAAAGTCGAAAAAACGTTTCGCTACACTGCACTTCCAGCTGACGAAATTGAAGAAAAAAGAAAGAAAATAAACGTCTCGTATAATACAATAAAAAGCAAACAAGGCCATAAAGATTTTGAAGGAATATCGATGTAAAATATCTCTGGGGTGAGAAGGTTGATCTGTTTCTCCGGCCCCAAGCCAAGGGACTCTGCTAGCGCATCGTGAAATACAACCTTCTCGGGAAGAATATTTTCTGTATTTCACTCGAATCATTGAATAACTTATAATTAGATATATGTACTGATGAAGAAAGGATGAAAAAAGAAAAATGGGAAAGAAGGAAAGTGCGGTTCGACATCCTTTTTGCCCAAATCATGTTATGCTCAGGAAAGGGTCTCCTTGGTATACAAACATGCATTCTCTTTACATAGTAGGACCAGCTATAACTTCCTTATATTACTGGCAGATTTCCACCATCCTTTGCGCTTGCATGAAATGGGCACACTCTGTTGAACATTGAGTATGTGCTAAACACATCAATAAAACAACTAATTATATATTACTAATTCCTTTTTCTATTATCATTCAACAATACATTTGTGCTTGATTGCTTTCCTCTTTAAGAATCCCAAAAATCATGTAAACGCATATTTTGGCTATAAGGGCAATCTGCGAATCGTTTTGGTTTGGCCCTCGATCAATTCACGCGCATGCGTTTAGTGAATGTACTTTAGGGCGTAGTGGGCCGAAAGCGACCAAGACTGAAAAGGAGTCGCTAGAATCATATACCTTCACGTGTACACCCTAACATGGTGAATCAAAATGTTTCTAGCTTTGAAATAAAAAATTGATAGCGTCGACAGCTACCTTTTAGTTTGATTATGAAACATGATTATGAACTTAAAATTTTAATCTTGAATAAACATATTTCCTCAATTAATTTCTATCTTATTATGAATTTTTAGCCCTCTTGTCCCGCCTGAAGAGCCGAACCAAATATTTTGCGGATTGCCCATAACAGTGTATTCAATTTTAGCTGGATAAACTTTCATCGTAAGTTTTGTAAAATTTCTTTCAGTGTACTCGTTTTAAGGTGTCAGGGTAGTTATCAGTTTACACCAAACAGGAAATGAAAAAACATGTGGATTTTAAATTTTTGGAACTTAGATAACAGAGTTCTGCTTTGATATTTTACTACTCCCATATATTATTTATATTACATGACCAGGATCACAATTGCCATGGTCCAAATGACCCTTATCTTGCTGAAATAGCTTTTTTAACCCTCTGAAATTGTGACTGAAAAAATTTCAAAGTTAGCGTTTCGGAAAGGTCACTGAACAGAATATTTTGAATTTTTCAGAAAATGTGCCCAATATCTCGTTTTACGTGATAGGAGCTTTGAAAATGAAAAAAATCTTTGAAACAAAAATTGTGGTCATTTAAAATCATTTTTTCATTTTTTCTCTATTTCTAGAAATGAATTCAATTTTTCAAAGTTCCTATCATTTAAAGCAATATGTTGGGTACATTTTCTGAAAAGTTCAACATATTCTGTTCAGTGACCTTTCCGAAACGCTAACTTTTATAACCCTTTTCAGTCACAATTTCTAGAGGGCTGTAAAAGCTATTTCAGCATGAAAGGGTCATTTTGACCATGACCATTATGATCATGGCTATGTAAATGATATTTGGGAGTAGTACAACTGACTGAAGATCAAAGCAGAACTCTGTTATCTTACTTCAAAAAATTCTAAAATCCACGTGGTTTTTTCATTTCCTGTTTGGTGTAAATTTCTGATAACTACCCCGAGACCTTAACTGACTCGCCTCGGATTCTAAATGGCATTTGAATTATTAAGAAAAGAAAACTGCGGCATACACATTTGGTTGGTCGCCATTTTGTCGCAGTTATCTAATAAACTAAATTATTGGTCGCCATTTTAATACGAGGTCATATCTTGAAAAGTTTTACTTACCTTTTTATCTAATCGAGATTCAACAAGAAAAGTTATATCCGAAATTATCCTCTTAAAAGTTATCCGAAATTATATTAATTAGCCGTAATCCAAATTATTGCTAAGTCATATTCCCTCTAAATAAACGAGGCTATTAAATTCACTTTAAACTGTTCAGTGAATCACGCACAAAATGGGCTTGAATTAAAAATAGTCACGGTCTTTGCTTCGTTCATATAACGGCCATGTGCAGTGGACACTAAAAATAAAAATTGAAACACAGTTGTTTTCTGAATCATGTACATCCCTGCCAAAGAAAAACATGATTTCTCTATTTTTGAAACCGGATTCATCTCTTTTTCATTTTTAAATCGACCTCAATTGAGCACTAACAATATACATTGTAAATGAGGTGATCAAATTGATTCAAAGGCTATTTGTTGTGTGTTGGATAAAAATTTAACTTGCTAAAAGAAAGGGCCGTGTTCGGTACATTTGTACAGTAATCTCCTGAGCGACAGTCCGAGACGAAAGATGAAGTGAATTGGAACGCCATGAATGGGTTTACCGTTACACAGAAGATTCGATCGAAAATGGAGGAGCTATAATTCCTTTTCAACATTTTCATATTGTAAGCTACTGTGTGGTTGTTGAGTCAGTATAATTAACAAAATTTGATTTGCAATTTGATGGCAAACTCATTTAAATACCTCCCGTGCGTCCCGTTAGTTGCCAGCTTTCGCCCCAAACCAAGTAGCTGGGCTAAATCACGATTTAATCTGGTTATTAAAGCAGCAACTTACACCGACTATCGAGGTCAAACTGACGGATAAATGTATGCAAATCAATAGGTTAATCCGGTAGCATTCTCGAATACAAGCTTAGTTACTTTGGTAGCTTTCATATGAGCTTAGATTTCATCTAATTTTTCTTACGTTTACTTGAAGCACACAATTCAGCTGTTTGAATCTTCGCCATTTTGACAATACGTTAACGTGAGTTATATCTGCGGCTGCCTCACACAGCAACGTTGGGTGTAACTGTAGTTGGCACGAACAACATGAACAGCAATATTGAAATGACTTGCGATACCATCACCATGACGTTTCTGTACGCAAGCAAATACAATTAAACATTCTGGACGATCGCCTAGCACCGGTGTTTTCTTCTTATTTCGACTTTATACAACTTATTCTGCCAACTTCACATGTGCTGGTTAAATGTGGATGTTAGATGATTAAAGTGCTGGTGCAAATCATATTTGATTGAATTTAATACTCCGAAGGATTTAGCGTTTTTGAGTCTACCCGACATTACGAAACATTAATGTGCGACTCAATCCAACTTCATGCAAAACTGTTTGTGAACATGATTCATATTCACCGTAGTTATTTAGATTAAGATGTTTTGGTTTGCTTTGAGTACAAATCTGTGTTAAATGAGTTGTCCACTTTGATTGAAGAAGGAAATAGGTCGTAATTATCTTCTTGAATCTACAGATACTATAATTCAAACTGATTTAAATGAAGGCTGAAAAGATCGGGAAACCGGAAATTAAATTTGCTGAAACAAGTCTAGAAAGATGTCGGCGATTTTAAATAGTCATGCTTTATTACAACTTCCTAATAAATGTCAAGTTTGTTCACATTTTTTGAACTTGTTTGAAAAGTAAATGAAGGATCGTTGAGCTTTTTAAAAATGTTGGACTGGAGCTTTCATGTCGTACCACTATAGCCCCAATCTTAAGCTATACATTTTCGTAACAACTAATTCTAACGCTTAGAATTTATGTATCCCACCTAAAAACATGTTTATAGACCAGTGATGTCACAAGTAAATCTCATCTTACACGTGTGACTTTTTAGGATGAAAGATGGCAATATCTTGCATGGGGTAAAGATGGCTGTATCTTGGTTCAGATTATCTTGGTTAGTCATATGAGAAAATGCCATCTATATTTATAACGTCATAAATACCGAATCACGTCTTTTGAAAGATGTCGACGTGGTACAATGAATCATGCAATGTTTCTCGATCTATTGCACTGTCTCCCTCAACCTACAGAGCTGAGACACGGAAAATAAAATATTAGAATAACTATAAGTGCTATACCCACCATTCATCCATCGTTCTCAGTCAGTTCCCACGAGGTTCCAAACATTGTTAACACTTCCCGGGAGACAGTCAAGGTCACTACATGCATTTTATTGGCTTGGTGCTCCTTGACTTCCGAAAACGGGTTAGAAATTCACAAACTAGGCCAACCTGAATCTAGTAATAATTTCGTATTTTTAAAAAAATATTTCGTTGATAAATACATTACTATATTAAACACATAATGTATTCAAACCAAGATAACATTTTAAAACACCATTACGAAAAGAAAATGTGGATCCATATCACAATTTTCGGCCCGACCTTCCAGGGTCATATACGGGCCAGGCCCATGAATACCATGATTTCCATTTGAATCGAGATTTGGATCAAATCATTCAAGCAAGCACGATGTTAGTTGTGATATGCTACTTCGTGTTACTAAATATTCTATTTAAATTGATACTGAAACTATGGGTGAATTTAAGTTAAGCGAATACCGTATACTTTTTACAGATATGTTACAGTTGTAACTTCATTTGGCTTGCTTCATAATTATCGAAACCAGTACGTTATTTAGGTACATAGTGTCAGGGGATTGACTCCCAGGGACGCAACTCGATATTTTCCAACAATGAAAGTGCCAGAATGTCGTTTTTCTGACATAATAACTGACTATAAATTCATTATCAACAGTCCGAATATTTCGAACCAATATCTCGACCAAATCTTGTGTGTTTTCAAGTGGAATTTTTTCGTTTGGAAATAAAACCAAAATTCGCGATTCAAATTTTATCGTGAACAAAATTGCGGCTACTGTTTGAATTCGAATTCTGTAATCACGACATTTCCATAAATTGGCAGAAAATCGTGTTGAAACCCTGGGAGCCAATCGTCCCCGGTGTTTAATCTAAGAATATTACGCAAGTATGACCTTATAAAGTGCGGTCGAGTCCTATCAATATAAAAAGAGTTTTTATCTGGGGGATAAAGAAAGTATTACAAGGTTAAGTAGATGTAATAAAATACTAATTCATTTTAAGATAGTGTCTTTGACAAGCTGTGTTTTATTTCTTTATTGCCAACTTGTCAAGAGCTGACATTTTCATCATGAAAATCATAAATCTTTAACTTAATCTACTTCAGATGAGATAATAATAAATATCGATGTTTGACAGTTCTGCAATCAAAAACTATTTTTCGTGAACGCAAGTTTTTACAGGTACTGTGTAGGTTGACTATCTTACGAATGGTTGAAACAACGGTACCCCCTCTACATCAAAACTCCTGAATGTACATGGCGTGTCATATTTCATTTGAATGATGATTTACAGTAGTTATACAGGGTGTCAAAAACAACGGCACCCCCTCTACATCAAAAACTCCTGAATGTACATGGCGTGCCATGTCTCATTTGAAAGATGATTTACAGTAGTTATACAGGGTGTCAAAAACAACGGCACCCCCTCTATATCAAAACTCCTGAATGTACATGGTGAGCCATATCTCAATTGAAAGATGATGTACAGTAGTTATACAGGGTGTCAAAAACAACGGCACCCCCTCTACACCAAAAACTCCTGAATGTGCATGGCGTGCCATATCTCATTTGAAACATGATTTACAGTAGTTATACAGGGTGTCAAAAACAACGGCACCCCCTCTACATCAAAAACTCCTGAATGTACATGGCGTGTCATATCTCATTTGGATGATGATTTATTTCTAGAGTTGCTCATCAAATTACATTTAATAAAACTGAGTCTTTTAAAAGATCGATATCTCTAAAATAAAGAGATAGATTGTATTACAATTTTTAGGTCTTAAATAACAGAAAAATATATAATATTCCATGGAGACCGAATATGCCCGCGTATCACTTGCTGTGTAATTCTCCGCTCGGTATAAAAGTATTTCGGTTATGTTATGCACTTTGAACATCTAAACAAATATGTTTTATTGCTTAGAGTATTTGTAAATCTATGAAATGTAATATGTAAAATTCAACTTTTTTTCGAATCAATGTTAAATTAACTGATATTCCATAATAATGAGCAACGGTGTACATATTTGTATCCGCAGCTTTTTGGTAGGATATTTCTTTTAAATAAATTCTATTTTCCATGTATATTGTTATGACTATAGTATGACTCAAATGTCTGTTAGTCTTGCGGTTTTGAACGTGATGATCATGGTTGTAAACGGTGGATAGTTCCCCATTGTTCCAAAAATCCGAATGTATACTTTTCTACACCTAAATATAATGCATTTATTCAATTACATATAACCACATCCCATTCATGATCATTCAGGTGAGAAGACTGGAAAATACCCTAAGTTAAACAGCGAAACGCATAATAACAAAACTCTGAATGTGACGGACAAACAGTTCAATAAATTAAGATGTTTGAGACTTGAGAATACTCTAAGGAAAAAGCGAAACAAGTAATTACTATGCTCTAAATTAAGGGATAAACAGATCAATCAGATTAATAATCATGCTCTGAATGTGAAAGACAAACGGATCAATCAGGTGTTTGTGAGGAGACTGGAGAATACCCTGAGGAAAAAAACGAAACGAGTAATAACTTTGCTCTAAATAGGACATACAAACAGATCAATCAGGTGTTTGTGAGGAATCTGGAAAATGCCCAGAGGAAAAGAGCGAAATGAGTAACAAACATGCTCTAAATAAGACGGACAAACAGATCAATCAGGTGTTTGTGAGGAGATTGGAGAATACCCTATTGAAAAGAGCTCTGCTCTAAATAAGACGGACAAACAGATCAATCAGGTGTTTGTGAGGAGATTGGAGAATACCCCGAGGAAAATAGCGAAACGAGTAATAACTAAACTCTAAATGTGACGGACAAACAGTTCAATTAGGTGTTTGTGAGGAGACTGGAGAATACCATGAGGAAAAGAACGAAACGAGTAATAACTTTGCTCTAAATAGGACATACAAACAGATCAATTAGGTGTTTGTGAGGAATCTGGAAAATTCCCAGAGGAAAAGAGCGAAATGAGTAACAACCATGCTCTTAATCAGACGGACAAACAGATCAATCAGGTGTTTGTAAGGAGACTGGAGAATAACTTATAGAAAAGAGCTCTGCTCTGAATGGGACGGGCAAACATATCAATCGGGTATTTGTGGGGAGACTCGAGAATACCCTATAGAAAAGAGCTCTGCTCTGAATGGGACGGGCAAACATATCAATCGGGTATTTGTGAGGAGACTGGAGAATACCCTATGGAAAAGAGCTCTGCTCTGAATGGGACGGGCAAACATATCAATCGGGTATTTGTGGGGAGACTCGAGAATACCCTATAGAAAAGAGCTCTGCTCTGAATGGGACGGGCAAACATATCAATCGGGTATTTGTGAGGAGACTGGAGAATACCCTATGGAAAAGAGCTCTGCTCTGAATGGGACGGGCAAACATATCAATCGGGTATTTGTGGGGAGACTCGAGAATACCCAGAGGGGAAAAGCGCGAAACGAGTAAAAACTATGCTCTGAATAGCATGAACAAACAGATTTTGTTAAGAGACTAGAGAAAGCCATAAAGAAAAGAGCGAAATTAGTAATAACTCTGCTCTAGAAAGGACGGACAAACATATTAATCATGATATGTTTGTGAGGAGACGGGAGAATACCTTGTGGAAACCAGTCATAATATAACCTGCAAGGAAATAGATTCCGGATGGAGTGGTAGATCAAAGCAAATTGATACAAATATACATATATATTATAAACTAATACTTCGCATGAAATAATTAGTCGTTCCAATGTATCTGTTGACTGAAAGGCTTTCGCTGTCTTATTCTATAGTCCTTAATCCACACTTCATGCGATTTTTCCCAATTTGAAGTTTACACAATTACTAACGTTTGTTATATTCTAATCATAACGTTTGAACAAAATCAGTATTTCCTATAAAAATTTGTCAAGCACTTTGTTCTGTGTACTTCTTGCTATTTGATATTTATTGGGACATCACGTCCTTGCCGTTTTAAGCCCAATGAACACATAGGGATATCGCGCTTAACAGATGGGATTGATGAGATTTCAACAGGTTATTGTTTGGCAACGAAACTGCAAATGTCATTCACGTTTAATTCCAGGCTCAAAATTGCAATTTGTGTATTTGAGAGGGTTATGGATCCATCATCAAAGTTCGCAAGTTCCTAGTCAACCCAACAGAAAGGTTGATATTTACAATTGCTCGACGCAATAAATAAATATTTACAAGCCATTTTCATGATCAGTAATACTCTTTTTATCATTTTTATGTCACCATCAGAAGTGGTGACATATGATTATAATAGTCTCTTGCTTCTTTGTGGACGATGTTCGTCAGTCGGCGTTCGGCATCCGACGTTTTGAACAAATTCTTACAACTTCCAATAACTTCAGGGAATGGCATGCCGAAGAGAAAGACCATCGAGTACCATAAACACACCAAGAGCACAAATAGTTATCAGGAAAGCAAACTATTAATATTTTGAACTAACACAGAAAGAAACGATATTTAACAATTGGTGAATATCTTCTTTATCCTATCGTATGAAAGTGTCTCGATCACCAAGTAAAAATACCAAGGACCTTTAACTTGCCTACTGTCCTTTTGAATCCACTTATATCTCAAACTGCAACCCGTTGTCAGTTAAGTTGAAGGGGTGACACGTGGGTTTGAACTACTCTTTATGATCATGATGGGGTTCTTCGTGATGGCTTGAATTCCTTCAAACCGTTGTCAGATAAGTTGAAAGGGTTGCACATGGATTTGGACTCCTCTTAATATTCATACATGTGTATACATTTTGCTTTTTCGTGATGGCTTGAATTCCCTCAAACCTTTGTCAGATAAGTTGAAGGGACCGTACATGGGTTTGAAACTACTCTTGATGTTCATGCGACTTCTTCGTGGTGGTAATTTGAATTCCTTCAAACCTTTGTCAGATAAGTTAAAGGGGTCGCAAACGGGTTTTGGACTGCGCTTCATATTCTTGCATATGCATATACTGTATAAGTGGTATTTAATCCGAGTAGTTAATTTTCCGAATGGTCAAATTTCATCATTTTCCTAATTTTAACTTTCCTAATGATAAGAAACCTCCCATTGGATAACATTATAAAGACAATATTCCGACATTTAATTTTCCGAACCTGGCAAAAATTAGGAAATAGGCAAATTAAATGATTAGGCAAAATTACCACTTATACAGTATATTGGGCTTCTTCGTGGCTTGAATTCCCTCAAACCTTTGTCAGATAAGTTAAAGGGGTCGCACACGGATTTGGACTGCTCTTCATGTTCATGCATGTGTATACATTTTGCTTTTTCGTGATGGCTTGAATTCCCTCAAACCTTTGTCAGATAAGTTGAAGGGATCGCACATGGGTTTGGAACTACTTTTGATGTGCATGCAACTTCTTCGTGATGGCTTGAATTCCTTCACACTTTTGTCAGATAAGTTGATCGAAGGGGTCGCTCATTGGTTTGGACTCCTCTTAATATTCATACATGTGTATACATTTTGCTTTTTCGTGATGGCTTGAATTCCCTCAAACCTTTGTCAGATAAGTTGAAGGGATCGCACATGGGTTTGGAACTACTTTTGATGTTCATGCGACTTCTTCATGATGGCTTGAATTCCTTCACACTTTTGTCAGATAAGTTGAAGGGGTCGCTCATCGGTTTGGACTCCTCTGAATATACATGCATATGCATACATTGGGCTCTTTCGTGATGGCTTGAATTTCTTCAAACCTTTGTCGGATAAGTTGAAGGGATAGTACGTGCGTTTGAAACTACTCTTGATGTTCATGCGACTTCTTTGTGATGGTTTGAATTCCTTCAAACCTTTGTCAGATAAGTTGAAGGGGTTGCAAATGGGGTTTGGACTGCTCTTTATGTTCTTGCATATGCATTGGGCTTCTTCGTGGCTTGAATTTCTTCAAACCTTTGTCGGATAAGTTGAAGGGATCGTACGTGCGTTTGAAACTACTCTTGATGTTCATGCGACTTCTTCGTGATGGTTTGAATTCCTTCAAACCTTTGTCAGATAAGTTAAAGGGGTCGCGATGCTCTTCATGTTCTTGCATACGCATATATATTGGGCTTCTTCGTGGCTTGAATCTCATCAAACCTTTGTCAGATAAGTTGAAAGGGTCGCACATGGATTTGGACTCCTCTAAATGTACATACATGTGCATACATTCGGCTGCTTCGTGGCTTGAATTTCTTCAAACCTTTGTCAGATAAGTTGAAGGGGTCGTACTCATAATCTACATGCATGTACCTATAACTATTAGCCTTCTTTGCGACGACTTGGACTCCAAATTTTTTCAGTTCGGGTCGTACGGAAATAAATGTACGTAAATGAAGTCAAACTAATGCAAATGACGTACACAATGTACTAATTCTGATAGAGGAAATTGCGAAAGAAAACTAATTATTTTGATCAACATTCTAATTGTAGCTAGAAGAACTGGAGATACATGTCTTCGAAGGCCCTATAGGCCATATATCATCGTGCGGAAATTGCAGAATATATACGATAACCGCGCGTGAGTAAATAGCTTCTATCTCCCAGTCGCATCTTCAGAATCCGAATACAAATATTTACGTTGCGTTACGAAGCCATACGTTTGCGTTTTGTGGATGCGACAAAAAAGAAGGCACTGTTATTCTAGGCTATTTCATTATACATCCATTCGTAAGTTAATTTTGATTATGTTATGGTACCGTCGGTGAAACTTTTTACTTTATACACGATAAACCTGGAAATCGTGTGCTAGTCTTACTAGTCTACTAGCCTGCATGCCACCCGTATCGTGGTCCCCGGTAGACAAACTATCAGAACAAAATGCTGAATCAACTGGCGATTAAATTGTGTATCATATCAAATCCCGATATTTGTATGGGATTTTGCCTTTTTACTTTCCTTTTTAGTTTTGTTTACTTTCGACTTAACGAGATTGTTTTTCATTTCTCTTGATAAACCACTTTAAAAGTTTCGACATACCACCACCCCGGGATATATAGCCAAGGGGGCCTCTTCAAAAACAAGTGCTTCGAGATTGTAAAGACCGTCATATGTCAATCAAGTTCCGAGTGACCGCAAACATCAAGAATAGTCTAAAATTCTTTTCACTGATATTCACTATTTCAGCTCGACACTTGGAATTCCTTTATATTTAGCAACCTTTAGTTTGATCTCATTTATAGATATGAGGCTATAATAAAATCGAATGTACTTGATCACTAGAAAACTGACAAAGATATGAACAGTGCTAATTGAGAGTACATGTTGCTTCTCATACTTTCGACAAAAAAGGAGTCTAACATATGTTAACCATATGTGATCGATGGGCGATGTGTAAACACGGTATTTTCAATCATATTTTAATGAAAGTTTGACAGTAGGGCAATATGAGACAACGGAGTACTTTTGCGTGATACATCCAGTGAACCCTTTTAGAAATTAGGACCCCATTCACATATTATCATTACATCAGTAGCAATTAACTAAAAGTATCTCATCAACGCAATCTGAAGCATAGAATTGGTTGTGAGTATTGTTTCATGGTTTATATGGTTTATTGGGGTTTTGTGCTTTAGATCAACGTTTCCCCCAACGTGCATGCTTTCCAAGGTATGTATTTTTGGAAAACCAAACTGGTGAATGAGTATTGGATTTCCCTCCCTTGGGCTCTTTTGTTATATCAGAGAGCTTTTAGTTATTAATTTCACAATTAACACAAAGGAATAGTTGTGTTTTTGCCAGGTTTATTGCGACTTTTCTGTCCTGCAGTGTATCAACGCTGATTGCGGAAATCTCATGCTCTAATATGACCAAAAATTACAATACATAATTAGTGCATAACTAGCCTGAGAATTTAGTTTTTTCAATTGCCTCAGGCAATATCACAGTTCTCTCCACTACAACGAGTGAACCCCTTTCATAAAAAATACTACTGATAATGTCAATACGCTGTCACTGGAGTACCAATAAAAGGGGTATACCAAGCACGATAGCTCTGCTGACTAGTTCGACTCTACACAGTAAACATCTCTAATTCATTTACACGGCAAAGAATAAAGGACTTAGGATGTAGCCTTGTCACAAACCCACTGCTATCTCAATTATTAGCCATGTTTTGGATAATTAACATCACATCTATGGTGTTTTAAGAGACACGGAGCTTTAAGAAGTAGATTCTGCTGTGTAAGGAACGGCATTGCGTCTAGAACAGTTCTTCTAAAGGATAGGATTTATTTATCAAAGGCCATGGACGTCGACGTTTTGGGAATCATCCTAGTGACGCTTTTCTCAATCGTGGAATGTAAGTTTGTATGACTTGTTTAGAAATTAATTGAATAACTTTAGATTTTATTGAAATTTTATTGGGTCTCATTGATCCGGGATTCTATAAAAACACACAAACATAAACACAACGATGATCAATAATTTTGGAAGGATGGCAGTATATAGGGTCATTTATTCTTGTGTATACCGTCGTTTTGGCGTTCGTAATTGTGATGTAATTATCACTTACGTCATCATCTCCCTGTAATTGAATTCCACGATTATTTCAAATACCCAAAAATTAATGCCTTCTGCAAGGGGATCTATCCATTGTTCGCTCGTTTGTTCTTTGTGAACCAGGCACCATGCTCTCAATATGACATTATCATACATATTTCAAAATAAATATGCTAAAACAAACACTTAAATACGTATAATACATATATTATTAATGGTCGATTTCAATTTTTTAGAGTAGTCAGTAGTCATCAACAATACATTCAAAGGTATAAACATTTGTTCATTTAGTTTTCATTTTCTCGAGAAATCAAGTGCCTGTGATTTTTTAGTCAGACTGCACTTATATTTATAAGAGGTTTTGAGTTTCATACAGTATAAACCATACATTTGAATATCGGAAACCCCTCTGAAATACCTACACTATATTAGCAGATTCTATTAAGTAAAAAAACACGTCCTTTCACTATTAAAAGGCCAATAGAACGCAATTGAGTAAAGTATTGAGATCCTCTATATCACGCGCCATGCAATTCAATTTCATCGAATGCCAAAATTGCACTTGTTGCTACCATAAGCTTTTGTATTAAATCAAATATTTCTCATATTAACGAGCCGGTAATACTAAATATTTCAACAATTAAATATACTCCTAAGTTTAACTTAAACAGTGCTAAATACTCGATTGGAACACTCAGCATACTTCCTATTGTACATTTGTACATACAACGGCATATACTTGTTTGAAGTACCTGGGACTTAGTAAAGTTTGGCTTTGTTAATCTGATTAAAGAGGAAAACACTACTAAATAGTATACATAATCCACTAAACTGTTAGTAAAATACATGGCTGTATAAGTTACTAATCCAGTATACAATGAATATCTCTATCATGTTAATACCATTAGAATGAGGAAGTGCTGTAGACCTATTACGTACATACATCTTGTCACTGGTATTTCCAAAATTGCTAGAGGGCTTAGTTAAATATAAAACACAATTCAACACAATTTAATTTACACATATGAGGCTTACGTAGATACTTAACATATGACGTGCATTAATACAAAGTTTAAAGTAATAAATTATTTTTAGCTACATTGGACATTAATTATCATCAATACTAAAATTCAATATTTATTAAGCGTATAAACTGATGGCCAATGCACTTTAGATAATGTTCCTATTAAATTCCTATTAATATCCTATTTATTTCTAATTAATATTCATAAACATAAATGAATATATTACATAGTATGTTAAAATTTTCAAATATGTTCATATCATTCTTCAATGGCAGTACATACATTATAGCATTATTACATGATAGAGGGTGTGATATATAGAGATTATCCTATATGAGGTTCAGGATATTGGGATTATCCCGAGGCCAATATAATATATCTGCCCGAGGGCCGTAGGTAGATATATTATATTTATCCTATGGTTGCAAGGGTATCGTATATCACGTGAAAATATATTTGATATGTGGATCAAGATATAATATTTTAGCAAAAAGTCCCTAACCATCGAATATCACTTCTTAAAAAGTGATATCACTTCCTAAAAAGTGATATTCGATGGTTTCAAAAGTGATATTTGATGTTTTTAAAAGTGATATTCGATGGCTGCGTTCACTCGTGAAGATAGCAATATCCTCTCATAGGATCTAGATGATACTATTTCAAAACCATAGGATAAATCTATAAAATTATGAATGATTTGTCACTAGTTTATAAATGTTTGGGGGAGGGATTTGACATTGTCCCTTTGTGCTTTACATCATTAATATTGTTTTCCTTATGACTTATTATGTTAATTTCTGTTCTTGGAGTTTTATATCCTCTCACATGGCAGCTGTGCTTACATATTTAAAGTAATAGTAGTACTGTATATTGGCCTGAATGTGATCGATTATGAACTTGATATTTTTCCATTATGGTGTTATTAGTTAAAGAAGTGTTTATATATCTCAATATGTATATATGTAGTTCGTAATCGCACCAGGACAATATCAAAGGTTATCATGCTAAGTAACCAGAAACATATCTTGGGTAAACTAATATAGGTGTCCACAAATCTTTACATTGCATGGCCAACTGAGGACAGGGCTTAGTTTCAAAACATTATGATGCAGTATGGATAATATGAATAGAAATGTGAATTCTTAGTTGTCCAGAATCTGTAAAACGATGTCGTCATAGAATGATTAACAAATACATGCCCTGAAAAGGAGAAACCAAAGAGTGCATAAACAGAAAGAGGCATCCAACAGGTCATAATGACGATTAACCTACAATATTACGTATTCATTTTAAAAGGTACTAGATAGTATCTTGTCAGTAGCCAGGTTTTACCAAGGGGTGCTTTTGCCAAGGGTGGAGCTTTTTAACACTTTTGGCTTCTAAAAACCCATGCGAAAAGTGCTCAGTCAGAATGTCAAAAACTGCATGATATTGGAAGAACTTCTGGGTTTCTGGCTTCAGCTCCCCCTGGCTACGGGCCTGAATATATGTCAATGAATGATATCACAAAAGATCGAATAGTGCGAAGACTACAAGAGTGATGCTGATCTCATCTTTCTGCTCTTTCAACTGGAAATATATTTAGGCCGTGGTTTCTCATGATGAAATAAGACTATCATGAGAAACCATGGCCTTTTAATTTCTATTAGATTCACTCTAGTATGATATTTCTAGTTGAAGACAGAAGGATGTGATGAGTA